TCTCGTGGCCCCCCATTACCCCCAAACTCCAAATACCAAAGCGAACCTATCAGTCCTCGAGACACCCCGCGCCGGTCCCCTCCCGTCCCTCATTCCCAGGACCCTCGCCCTCGTGTTTTTTCAGCATATTTTGTGTTGTCGGCACCCCTCATCCGGCACTTGGGCCAATCCCACTCATCGAGCCCTCCCTATTAGGAAGTTAGGCCAAGCCCCCTTCGACACCCTAACCCATCATCCCACGCTTCACCCCACGCCGCCGGCGTCATCCAGCTTCCATCATGGCCCCAGTCGCTACGGGTGAGATGGCACCAATGCACCTACCCGTCTACAAGTCAAAGTCTTGTTCGGTCACTGCGTCAGTCTTGTATGGTCCTCGAGACTTGCGATTGGTAAGTTCAACTTTCTTGGGTTCATGGTCATGGATTGTGACGTGGAGAATGTGGGCTCGTTCGTCACAAGAGCGTTCCCCCACGTTGATCCTGTTGCATCCTTACACCTGAATGTGTCAAAAGCCGCCCCGCCTTGGACATGCTAATTCTAACGACACTCGTACCCTTTAGGAGAAGAGGAGCATCGAAGAACCGGCCGCCGGGGAGCTGCAGATCGCCATCAAGCGGACCGGTATCTGTGGGTCTGATGTCAGCTACTACAAGAAGTTCGCCAACGGCGACCTCTGCGCGTGTCATCCCCTCTCCCTAGGCCACGAATCTTCGGGAGAGGTCGTCTCCATTGGGCCCCAGGTCACGGGCTTCAAGCTGGGTGACCGCGTCGCTCTTGAGGTTGGCGTCCCCTGCGGACAGTGCACCATCTGCCGCAAAGGCAGATACAACCTCTGCAAGAAGATGAAGTTCCGGTCCAGCGCCAAGAGCGTGCCCCATTACCAGGGCACCCTTCAGGAGCGAATCAACCACCCGGCGGCGTGGTGCCACAAGATCCCCGACCACGTCTCCTACGAGGCGGCTGCCCTCCTCGAACCGCTCTCCGTCGCCATCCACGCCGTCAACAGAGCCGCGCCAGAGCCCGGCTCAACGGCCTTGGTCATCGGCGCAGGAACTGTCGGACTCCTGACGGCCGCCATGGCGCGGCAAGCCGGTTGCTCCGAAGTCACAATCACCGATGTCGACGCCGGCCGCGTAAACTACGCCGTCGAAAAGGGCTTCGCTACCCACGGCCACGTCGTCATGACTAATTCGGGCACCTCCACGCCAGCCGACCCGGGCGTCATGACACCCGCGAGCATCTTCTCCGTCCAGAGCGTACAGAGCAAATTCGACGGCGCAAAATCGCTCGCTGCCGAGATCCTGGCCCTTACAAGAGTCCCTGAAGAACTCGACTCGGACGCCGAAGACGACGGCGTCGACGTCACGTTCGAGTGCACCGGCAAGGAGGTCTGTATGCACACCAGCCTGTACGCCACGCGGCCCGGCGGGAAAGTCATCATGGTCGGCATGGGCACGCCCGTGCAGACTCTGCCGCTGTCGGTCGCGCACCTGCGCGAGATTGATATCCTGGGCATCTTCCGGTACGCAAACACATACCCGACAGGCGTCCGTCTTCTCTGCGCCAAGGGCAACGGCGGGCTCCCTCCTCTGGACGATATGGTTACGCACCGGTTCAAGGGATTGCAGAACGCGTCAAAGGCGTTTGAGTTGGCGAGCCGGACGTTTGATGACGAGGGCAAGCTTGTGCTCAAGGTTGTTATTGAGGCTTGAGTCGTAGCCCCTTTCCCTTGATGCGTAAAAAGGGTTTGCAGTTGGTTTTGGAGGTCCTGGTTCTACAAGTATGCGGATTTGATTATAGACAGTACCTTAGATTTGTTTTCCCCTTCTCTTCTCATTATTCTTTCGGAAAGCAAGCGTTGGATAGTTTGATCAGGTGGTCATGATGACGAAGTTGATACCTACTTAGAGAGCGCAGAGGGTCGTTGGGTTTCTTTCTTCTCCTTGGGTTTATCGGGGCACAAAAAAAGAAGAGAAAAGAGTATAGGTAGTCTGCAGGTTGAAAATACATCACGAAGAACATGGCAATGTAAGAGGATGAAATATACCGTGGCATGACATATGAACCAAAAACCCCTTGGGTGCCGCCTGGGGAAGGTGCGTCGAGGAAGGAAGGGAGCCTTGATGTGGGAAGGTGCCGGTGGCGGAGGTATTCACAACAGTATTCAGCCCCCAAGTGTTCATGGACTATTATTTTGGCCTCATGAGAATTCATCTATGATGCTTCAAGTAGTCCACTGACAATGGTGTATCTGGACCAAAGGTCTTTGTAGTTTTGTCGGGGTCTATTCATGCCCCTCGCAAGTGTCGTCATGTCTACATTATCCCCGAAACGCCTCCCCATAATCCCAGATAGGCTGATGATGCGCGCAACCGCCGCCATAAAAGACACTTCGCTCCCTTGACCAGACCGACTGTTATCCCCTCTACATCATAATATCTCCCGCGCCCGGGAGGTTGAAGCCAGAAGGGCCGTAGCTGGAGAAGTCGGCAGCCGCCGCACCGCCGCGGTTCCTGACACGTGCGGACTCGGCGATGCTGAACTTCTTGCCCAGATCGCGCATGCCACTGATACTCTGCATGAGGTCGTTGAGACGTGATGTGATGGCGACTTCATTCTCCTCGCAGAGCACCTCCTTTTCGAAGCCCTCCGCGTCAGAGGGAACGACGAGATCTAGCCGGTTCACGAGGGCTTGAATCTGGCGGAGGATGGTGTGAGATGGTGTAGTTTGCGCATCTGTGGTGGCTGATGCGGCGTCGGTTTGTTCCGCCCCAGCAAGGGGTTCGCTTGGCAGGCGTTCGAGGTACGTCGTGATGAGGCGGATGCGGCCCTGAAGCATCTTGACGGCGTTCGCCTTGGCTGTGAGAGCGGCCACCATCTCTTCCTCTTCTGGGGACAGCTGAGCCTCTGCGTCGTCACTGTCTGCGCTGTCGGCAACGACGACGCGGCGCTTGCTGCCCGACTCAACGAGCTGGACCTTGGGCTTGGCAGTCTCCTTTGGAGCCTCGACGGCGGTCGCGTTGCCGGCACCGCGCGCAACATGGTCCATGCTAATCATCTCAGCCTCGCCCGTCTCAACCGTGTAGGGTAGCTCGCGGAAGCGTAGCTTGAGCTTGGATTCCCCGTCGTCCATCTTCTTGTCCTCGCCCTCAGCCTCGGCAGCTCTCGGGTCGTCTACCTCATAGTTGGATTCATAGATGGTCATGGGCAGCTTACCGCCCACGGAATGAGTAAAGACTTCCTCGGGGTGGAAGCCGAGGAGGAGAGCAGACTCGTTGAATTCGGAGAGGAGCTGGTGGTGGATCGGGAGGATGGTAGGTGTCGGGCCTGTCACTGCGAGGAGAGTGTACCAGCCGACCAGGTCTAGGCTTCGGTCCTTGTGAACTGTCTTCACTTGGGGAGTGTTAGTCAAGGAAGACGTAGAGAATGAGGGACGGTCGAGCTTACTCTGCTCTAGTCTTGCGCCGAAGCGCCCGGAATCCAGTAGGTAGCCTCCTTCCACCTCTGGTGCCGGTATCGTGTGGCAATCAAACGCATGTTCGACGGTAATCTCGCGACCATTCTGCTGGCCGAGAAGGGCGCCTACAATGGGTCCTTGCTGCGACCGCAGAGTATGACGGGTGATATAGTCGGATATGGTGAGGAGTACCAGAGGGTGGAGGACTGCCTGAAGCTCTGAGGACTTTTGGTTCGAAATGAGCGGGTTCACATCGGAGGAAGCCATGGCTGACGCTTCTCTGGCCGTCGCCACAGGATGTCGGATCTTCTACTCGATTGTTGAGACCATATGAGGCGGTGAAAGGAGGAACGATCTGAATCAAAGACCTTTTGCTTGGTGTTTGGTTAAGTTGGTGGCGCTTACTGTTGCTGCTGCAGGTACAGTTGCAGATGTGTGGTTCGTTGCTCAGGGAAGGTGTCTGTGGTGGAGGTGAAGCTGCCTTGAGGCTGCCCCGCGATGTGGGGAAGGCGTGGTCCACAGACTAAACGGGAGCTTAGCACAACAAGAGGCTGAGGCAGGGAGTCAAGCCACATGCTGACTGTTCCAATCTGTGGCCAATCAAAGCAAGGCGGGTAGCTTGGAGCTATGGTGGGGCCTACGGTGCTCACTCACCTTCATGAACTGAGGTGCTCTGTACGGATACCTCTGTACCAATGTACCACTCTTCATCAACATAATTCTTAGACAGGATGAGCACCTCATGTTTTCATCGCGATGCGAAATTTTGTTCAGAGTCGTTTCAATTCGAAGCAGCTCACACTATTATGGAGGCCAGGCTTGATGATGTCTTGTCATGTGCTGCCCATTTCAATCAGCGTCATTGACCCCTGCCTTGATAAGGTCATGAAGACTCTAGATGAGTCCATGACTGGACAAGGGAGCAAGTGCCTCAGATCAGAACGACCCCGGTCGCTTTCATTGTCCGAGCTTGTAACTTTATAGACAAGCAAGAGACCGACCCAATAGTCTCGAGGTCTTTCAGATTTGGGCAGCATTGATGAGGGCGTTGGCAGCTCTGCACACCTCCTTGAAGTTAAGGTACCTTACTCACTTGGGCACCACATGCCGCATTCCCTGCCAAGTGGCAATCTGCATCCTGGACCCGAGAAAAGTGGCATCAAGGTGCTTGTCACAGTACGCAAAACGTTGTGATTTTCCTCTTCTTTCTGCCAGGCACACCAGGCTGGAATGGAATCCCACCGTACCAAAGGGAACGACTCAAAGGCAAACTGTGCAACACGCCAACAGTCTTCTCTTGGCTTCCTTCTTTGCTGTTCATGGCTCACTGTTACTGGATGTGCTCAGCTGCCCCCATCAATTCCAACATGTACCCAGCAGAGCCCGTTGTTGGTTGGCACAGGGTTCAAATATGGATGCTTGGCCGTTTCTTATCAGCTAGCGGCATTCCTCCATCTCATCGATGTTGCATCCGCTCCCGCATCCGCAAGACACGCTCATCTCTCCCTCTTTTCCCCTCTATCACTGTCACTCTCTCATCAGTATGGAAAGCTCGCACCACTACCTGGGCATGTTTCCCCCAGTCTATCCAACAGGGCTTGCACCATACCCACAACCTGTGATACCAGCGAAACGAGAGGATGACGACGTCCAATTCGTATCTTCCAATCCCGTCAAGAAGAGAAAGATCGGTGGCTATCAGCCGGTCACGCCACATTCCACCACAGACTCACCGGCGGCGGGGACACCCGCCCCCTTCAACAACCAGCCGTCCGAGCCCGCCAAGCCAGTCTCTCAGCCGGAACGACGGGGAAGCACGGGCATGGTCGATCACTCACCCACGGCCCGTTTGCCGGACGTTGACCCGATGAGAGGATGCTCCATGCCGACCCCAGAGAGGGCCTGTCATTCCGAATCATTCTGGACTGCACCGTATACTGGACCACAGTGCTCACCACCGGTGTCTCCCAAATCACTTCCCGAACATATTCCGCCTTCCATGCTCGGAATTGACAAGAATGATGGATCTGCACCTGTTTGTACGAGCGGAACCAACGAAACGGTGGCTGATATTCCCGCGCCGATCCCGCCAGCTATGCCGTCGACCATGACTCCACCTCATGTGTATCAAGCGCAATTATCTGGAGAACAAGGTACGCCGAGTCAGATGCAAGCAGAGACCGAGAACCACGCTGAGACTACAAAGGAGACACCCACGGCTCCCTCAGTTCCCACAACTCCCATGCTAGCTGGCACCACTGATCTGGGCAAGATTAACTCTATGCCCGTATCAGGAGCAGACAGCCCAATCATCTCGCAACAAACAGCTGAGTCTGGGCCAACGTTGAACCACTCTAATGCCGAGACGGAGTCGAAGAATGCCCTTCGCGATCTCTTGGATCAGCAGCTAGACCTCCACAGTTCCAAGATCAACGACTCCCTCTTCCCCTTCCATACCCATACTCACCAAAACACGCATACATCAAACGTGTTGACTGCTGATGTTCATAACACCGCCCATGGCACGTCGGATACCCAAGCCGGGGCCTGCGCTGATCGCCCTGCGTCAGGAGCAAAGGCGCCATGCCGTCAGTGTGTGGAGGCAAGGTTGAGGCAACAAGCTGCTGGCATGGCCGTCAACTCAGGCTTGCCAAACGGCACAAATGCATCTACCGCCAGTCAGGCTCCCCTTCCACCATCGTCTATGCAGCAACCTTGGACGAACCTCTTGGGACTCAATCCGTATCACAACGCGATGGCCGGAGCCATCTACAACCCGCTCTTGCAACAATCCTTGATGGCTGGACCAGCTGGTCACTTTGCAGTCCATCCGCAACAACCGCATCTCGGTACCGGAATCTCTCCCCAACAGCCGGCGGGGCACATGTTCCATCTCGGACCTCCTTCGCCAGTCCCGCAAACACCGCCGTACGTCACGCAACAACCGCTCACCCAACCATCCAAACCAGCCGTGGGAGCAACCACCTCGAAAACGCAGGCAAACAGAGCCCCCGACACGCAACCGACGACCAAACACATCATCGTCGACATCGCAGACACCTGTCTCAACATGTTTCCATTCCAAGAGGTGGCGAAGCGACATAACCAACCGGAACAGAAGATACGGGACATCTTCTCCGCCGTCATCCAGGTCCCGCTGCTCCGTGGTCCCACGGACAAGAGAAGGGCCGGCAAGCTGGGAACGGTTAGGGTCAAGGAGTTTACGCAGGCGAAGAAGGAGGTGCAGGCGCAGAAGGGGAACGCTGGCCAGCAGCAGATGAGGCAGGATTCTCCGAACCAGAACCTGAGTCAGATGCCGTATATGCCTTCGGCGTGGGATGTTGCGCAGTTCATGGGCCCGAGCGATGTGCGGCTTGGGGCGCTGCCGAAGTATTCGCCGCCTTGGTGATGAGAAGGGAAGGATGGTCGCTTGGAGGTCGTTTTATTTAAGAGATGGGAGAATTCTGATCTCGCAGCTCATACTAAGGCTTAAGAAAGGAGGTCGTTTAGGAGGCATCTTGAAGTTTTGTATCTATACCCCCATTTGCAGTTCCATTCAATTTCTTTTTCTTACTCCTGACTCTGACTCGCCCAGTCTCCAAAATTCTTCCCACACTCAACCGCTAAGTGTTCTCACCGCTTCATTCACAGGCAGGCAGGCCAGGCCACTCGACATCGCCGCCCGGCTCCTCCCTCACCAAACTCACCGCAAAGTTCCGCCGGCGCAGCAGCCGCGTGTGCTCGAGCATGGCGCGCCGAGCACGCCGCATGCCGTCCTCGTCGCCTGCGGCGTCGGCCCGCATGTACTCACCCATCAGCACGGCGTGCTCGGCCTCGTGCCGCGCGCGGTTCTGGGCGTAGCTTGCGGGGCGGTGGCAAGCGGCGCAGCTGTCATTGAGGAAGGCGGGCTGGGGCTGGAGCTGGGGCTGGCAGCTTGCGCTATCACAGTCGGTTGGGTGGGAGAGGATTGTGTGGCCGCAGGACATCGTTGTTTGGGTACCTTGACACATTTCAACTTTTTTTTTGGGAGGCGCCCTTCTTTACGGTTGGAGATGCTTGGTTAGTTAGGATTCAGAGCCCCTAGGTTCGAATGAAGAAAATGGGCTATTAGTATAACGTTACGGTTCTTCATTGTTCTTGTTCAGTTAATGTCTGGAAGTTATTCGTAGTACAAGTCCTTTATTACAACTCGAGATCTTGGATGGTGAAAAGGATCCATTGTGCGACACCTTTAGCTCGTTGACTGAGCAGTAGCAGGAGTCTGAGGCTTACAACTAGCAGAAGGCTTCATTGTGTCCAGGGGCGCAAGGATGAAGTCTACCTCTTGGCCCGCGAATACCTCATTTAGGACCACGAAATCCAATATCTCATTGTCCAAAACAGCTATCGGGAGATTGGCACATCAGTTTTTCCAGTCGTCCAAGACTAAAACTCATATTATTCATTGGGGTAAAAATGATGGATATCGTCCCACGATAACCCGGTTCGCATCTCGCTTCCGCAAGAGCGCAGACTACGTAATTCCCATCTCCCGAATATCTCGAGCGACGGACAATGTAGATGATGGGTTTTGCTTATCAGCGAATAGGATCACTTGCCGAAAATGCCTCCAGAAGACTCGAGATTTGCCCACCAATGAGCGGCGGCGCGGAAGAAGCGGCGCAGAACCTTTTTCCGTACCGGCTGAAGATTGCCGTCGGCCCGGCGTCTATGAGTTTTGTGTCTCTGGGATGAGGGGTGTTTGCGAAGTGCATATCCGCCGTCTGCATGCATGTACATAGAATGACGCTCACAGTGTCTATTGAACTTGTCCTTGGGAGCTGCGTTTAGGGGATACACCGTGTCACTGTGGGCAAAATTTCTCCTGTCTCGGGTATCTTCCCATGTCTCCAAGGATGTACATATCTAAAGGCTCGCATACTGGGGCGTGACGAAGGTGCGGCACGCAATGCAAGCGCCGATGTAGTCTGCCACAGCATGCAACGGGCAGGGAGGAATTGACCAAAGCGGTCGTTGTGAGAGGTCACCGGAAACAAAAGATGCCTGGCTCATGGAATTATCCGGAAACTACAAGCGCGACGCCGGTCTAGTCCCGTACCTGGTCCAGACGACTCCCGCTTTTTTGCCGTTCCTTAGGTTAAGTAGGTAGCGTGTCACCCGGCCGCTTATTTTGGAGCGCCGTGACTTGAAGTCAAATGAAGACGGACCCCACGGAGCGGCGCTTTGATATATGGTGGGGGTTCTCGGGCCCGAGGGTTCCGGACCCGGTGTAAGGCGGGACCGGGACCATTTCGCTTTCACCTCCGGCACATGGGGGTGGGTGGTCTCAGCGGACGCTAGGTTGCAACAACACTAGCTCATTGTCATTGAGCAAGGCACGAATTGTAGTGTGGAGATTTCCAAATGCGACGTTGAAGCTGAAGTTGACGCTGATGTTCCCCACGGGGAAAGCAAGAGTCATGAACCTGGTTTACTACGGTACATCATTATAGTGATTCTTCTTTCTGTTTTTCCTTCTGCCTCTTGAGGGGAGAGCGTGTCCGTGCCTGCATGAGATCTCCATTCAATCTTTGCCCTAACGTAACGTTCCAAAAGCCCCCGTCCGGTCTAAGAAGCACACTCACGCATGGCTGCCTTTAGTGATTCGATAAGGTTTATGTCCTTCCACTTCTCATGTTGTATGTTGTATGTTGTTTCACGCTGCCCCGCCAGACCGCATGGAACGTGAACTATCTTTTCCTAGTCGCGTCAAATGTGGTCACATATCAGAGTAGATTTCTCCTGCGGAGTGTTTCCGGGGTGCATCGTCAATGGTTCCGGGCAGCGGTACTTCACTTTCGATGCTTGTACAAGCTTTTGACAGATGTGAACGTGTATTCTATGGTGGATGGACTGGAAATCATGAATCTACAAGACATGGTTGTCATTCGCTGGCACTTTTACCAGACGTCATTTCAGTTTCTGAACCATCTCACCGGCCATTCAAGATCTCGATGCAACGCCAGATCCAAACGCCGCGATATCCCCGCCTTGGATCGGAGCCGTGTGCTGTCCGTCCCTCCGAGACCAAATGTCACGTTCCATCGGAGACATCGGTGCGGCAACGGGGCATCCCACGGGTGCACGGATACAACGACGCCAGAAGAAAGGGGGCTGGAGCGGAGCCTCAGGGAAGATCCTTGTCGTTGAGGACCGTGCCGGCGGGTGGCGCCGGATAGAGAAAGCTGGGGCAGCAGTTTCCCTTTATCTCCTCTTTGGGGTTGATGGACGAATCACATTGCACGAATCTGACCTCAGGTCCTCAGACCACACTATTGTCCGACTCCCCTCCCCTCTGTATAATTGTGGGATACATTTAGATTCATTCTAATCCGGTGAAGGAGGAAAACTGGATAATGTGGAGTAGACGAGTGAGGATCCTCAACTTATCTCCTCTTGTGCGATTTCCCCGCTCTGTCAGAACGTGCTGTTACTATGTCCTATTTTGTAACAGGGAGACGAGGGAGACTTGATCGCAGTATGGTGCTCTAGTGGGAAACTTTCGAAGATAGAAGGGCGGGGTAGGCCAAGCCTCCTCAAGATATTCAACTTCAACGTTGCCATGTTCTCGTGCCTGTTTCCCTATCTCGATACTGCCTCTTGATGTATCAGGTGTCAAGGACATGTTACAGTAGTCACAAGTCATAGAGGGTATCGATCAAACCAACTTGTAATAAGAGAGGCATGATCAGCTCAGTTTCACAGTAGATGAGGAAAAAGACCATCGCCCTATCGATCGACGAGCCAGAATATCGACAATGACTACCGGGGGACCTCGAGAGTTGCCCGACGATGCTTCGTCACACACTAGAACTGGCCTTCAGGATGACCTCGAGGACGGGAAGATCTCCAAGCTCACGAGGCTGTACTCGAACCCGTGGACACAGTAGGACCCTTCCAGGATTTACTCTCGCGTCGCAACCGGCTAAAGTATGCCCCCAGAATCATCCTCATAAGCTTTATCTGCTTCTGTCTACCCGGGGTTAGTAAACTTTCTTTCATGAGACTGAGAAACCGTTGAATCCTGACGCAAAAGCCAACGCATAGATGTATAACGCCCTCACCGGCCTAGGAGGGTCCGGCCAAGTCGACTCAACAGTAGCAGCCAACGCAACCGTCGCCCTCCTCTCCACAACGGCCGTGGCGTCCCTCTTTATCGTAGGCCCGATCCTGTCCCTTGTAGGCCCCAAGATCGCGTTCCTCATCGGAGGCTGGACCTACGCTCTCTATAGCGGAAGCCTCTTGAACTTCAACCGTACGATTCCCCTCCCCCTTTATCCCGTCTACCTCCCTGTAAAAGTACTAAACAAAACTCACCCCCCAAAGACACCGCGAACGGAACCTTCGTCATCGCCTCCGGCGCCATCCTCGGCATCGGCTCCTCATTCATATGGATCGTCCAGGGCGCCATAATGACGACCTACGTCCACGAGTCGCAAAAGGGTCGCGCCATCGCCGTCTTCTGGATCATCTTCAACCTCGGCGGCGGCGTCGGCAGCCTCGCCGCCTTTGGCCTAAACTTCTCCTCCACCACCGGCACCGTAAATGACGCCACCTACATCGCTCTCATGGCCGTCATGCTCTTCGGCTGGGCCCTGGGCCTCTTTATCTGCTCCCCGAAACGCATCCGTCTCGCGCAGCTCAGCGCCGTGACCGAGGCGGAGGAAACTCGCAATCCCTCACGCGCCTCCGGCTCCGGCGTCGCCGCCAGGGCCAAGGGCCTTCTGACTATGACAACCACGACGCTGTGCACCTGGCGCGTCGCCTGCATGCTCCCCCTCTTCTTCTGCGCCAACGTATTCTACTCGTACCAGCAAAACGAAGTCAACGGCATGACCTTCACCCTCCGCACCCGCTCCCTCAACGGCGCCCTCTACTGGCTCGCCCAAATGGTCGGCGGCCTCCTCATCGGCCTCCTCCTCGACCTGCCCGCGCTCGATCGCCCCGGGCGTGCCCGCCTCGGCTGGGCCGTCCTCTTCGTCACGGGCATGGCCATCTGGGGCGGCGGGTACCGCTTCCAGCGGTGGCAGGACGCGCGGCGGGGCCGGGGCCACGTGCAGGACGTCGATTACGCGCAGGGCGTGCCGGGCAGCGGCGCGAGGACGTCAGCCGCCGGACCCATGGTGCTGTATGTTCTGTACGGGGCCTACGACTCGCTGTGGCAGTCGTACTGCTACTGGCTCGTGGGTGCGCAGTCCAACTCGACGGGACGGGCGGCGGTGCTGGTCGGCGCGTACAAGGCTTTCCAGGCGGCGGGCGGGGCTATGGCGTGGCGGATTAACGCGCAGCGGGCGAGCGCTATGGCGCAGCTTGCAATGAATTGGGGGTTGAGCATGGGGGCTCTAGTATTTGCCTTGCCTACCGTGTTAGCGGTGACGAAGAGGACCGGTGCTCTGGAGGAGGCTGGCGTGGGAGGGATTGACGAGGAGGAGGCGGAGAAGGGGGCCCAGGGGATGAAGGTGGAGGGACTGTAGTGGACTTGTGTTGGTAAGGGGAAGGAGGAATGTTCCATAATTGCCGCGTGTGAGTTTTAATGGTTGTTGCCCTTTTGGTACGGGATGCCTTGAGGTGGGTGGTGAGATGAAGATGATCATTGTTTTAGTTGAGCAAGGGAAACCTGCGAGGCGGTCTCCAGTATGAAGATGATCACACTTGCATACCTGAGGACTTGCTTGTCAACGATCAGTACCCACGTCGAACCTCGTATAGTTCGAACAGCTCTGTGCTCTAGGAGGTATCTCGCAGGCTGGCCGGACGCACGGCGTACAGTAGCAGATGAGAGATGAGGAGGGAGATGATCGATTCCAGCATGGACGCAAAGAGGAGAGAGTTCTGCAATTTATTTCTTGAGAGGATTGACGCACTGGATCTACATGTGACTCATTTTCTTTGCTTGTGAGTGCCTCTCGTGAGAGCGAAGCGAATGATAATGATCCACATCAAGATCACCCGGGCGTCATAGGTAGTACGAACCTGTCACCTACTAGTCTTTTATCTAACTTTGCAAGACGGTGAATAAATCACCCGAGAATTCATAGAACCAGTAGGGTCATTGACGAGACCGGGCTAGTGGCAGGTAGAATGCTTGAAATTTTAAACGCGAGGAAGTCTCCCATGGACTCAGGCGGTCGAGGACAGGGAGGAACTACGGGTATCTGCCCTTTAGCTCATCGTACGCCTCGTCGGAGATGCAGTGTCCCGCGGTACGAAAGATTGCGTTTCGATTTTGGTCGACGCGGGCCATGAGAGAGTCGAAGCGAGCGGCGAGAATCCGCAAGCCCTCCGAGGTAATGGTGCGGAACGTGATCTGGTTCACGCGCAAGGCCATGCCGTCCGTTTCTTGGGCCGTTTGCCTACAAGCGTAAATGAGATTGAGGTCGATGGGGCCGCCATGGTTTCCTGCCCTCAACTTGCCGTCGATGAACGCCTGCGAGTCACACACGTATCCTCCATCAACTGCTAGGTAACGCTCATAAATCAAATCTCGCAGCTCTCGTGGGAGGGACAAAAAGTTGAAGGAGGCAGTCATCGCTTCGATTGACGTTGGATTTGAATGGGACGCGAACACCGGTTAGTGCTTATTTGAGTCCTTTCTCGTAGTCTGTCTACTTGAGCTCTGTTCAGGGTCTCGTTCTCAAAATTTGTCGGAAACAATGAGAGCAGCCTTAGCAACTGGCTTGGTCTTGACAGTGAGGTGAGCCAGTGCGGAGAATTGGAAAGGATGACAATCAGTAGTATCCTTTATATTTGGGGGCAGGACGGGGTTCTTGTTGATGGACGCTTGCACCCTGATTGTGTCAGGGCGTTCAGGGCGTTTTTTGCGGCGGTGCAACCCACTCAATTAACTTTCCCAGAAGGTACCTGCCTAAAGACCACCTTAGGCACCTCTGTAGACTCGACATCCTTCTGGGGATGGATGGTGATACTTAATTTTGCGTCCAATGGGTAGGGTATTGGTTATCAAGCACGAAAACAAAGAAAAGAAGAGACAAAGATGTGTGGAATCCCAGAAATTTTGACACCCAGTTGAAATTTTTATTCTAACCTAACGAGTACATCGGGGGAAAACGGCAACACGGAATTAAAAACCCCCCTCGCTCGGCCGTACCCTGATTGGTTTACCCAGTAATGATACGTTGGTCGATAGCCAACAACCCTGATCAATATCTATCCAGATATTCGAGCAATATGCTCAGTGGTGTATGTCCGGACGCAGACGTTTTGTAACAAAAGTAAGTAGTGCCCCGCCCTTGAAAGGTGTTTGGGCAACCCTGTAGTCTTCGAACCCCGTAGATTACTCTCTTCTGCCTGTCCATAGCAGTAACCCAGACACTGTAAACTCTAGCTTTTCGTCGACCTTGGTGGACCTAGATGCGAGTTAGTCAATTGACGCCCCGAAGCTCGAACACAACCTACTGACGATGGTCTTCCAACTATCAAGGTTGAAGTTGGCGATATTTAAACTCGCATCTACACGGTGCTAGTCAGCAAAGGTCACAACTGCCATCGTCCCGAGATCATACCTGAAGATCGTGACGTTGCTAATCCCTGATCCCTACAACCAACTACCCCTCATGAACAACATCCAGACATCAGAATTCTACCTTCAGGCATGCCTTGCCTGTTACCAAATTTCACGTTAGACCGTTGTACTGGCACAGGGGGATGAAGTATCGACTCGATATAACTTACGCTAGGGCACCAGCCTCGCCACTTCATCCACAGTCAACCGAGATGGTGGTGGCTGCTGCTGCGAGACCTCAACTTCAGCCGACCAGGTCGACCTCTTGTGGCTGGCGGACGGATTCCACAGCGAACCAAAACAACTAGAAAATGTTAGACTTGTACCCTCCGTCATTCTATCTCCAGAATATACGTACTAGTCTTAATCGTGGGCCTCGAGGCCCTGCTTCACGAATAGGCCCTGCTTCACGAATCGGATATACCTCATCGGGAGCAGATCATTGACATTCAGGATACCCTCAAAGACATCCTGGCCCAAAGCAAAATAGGGCAACCAAGCATGTACCAAGCAGAGTACCTCGAGTACTTCAACACACTGTTACGTGGTTAGAAACTTTCAGCATTATCAAGACAGGGGGATATACCCAACACTGCTGATGTGGGAGAAAGAGGTAATGAACTCGATTCATTGATTGTGGCTTTGGAAGGGTTGAAAGGGGGGATCAGCTAGCCTACTGAACCTGAAGAATAAGTACACAACTAAGTGAAAAGACCACTGGGAGGATAGGAACTGACTCGGACGATGTAGACCTAGCTTGAGTAGTAATGTATCCTGTTACTGCACTCAGTCGTCAGCGAAGTCGTCATGTCACGGCAGGTGTTGCAACTGACAAGGACAAATGGCACCCTGAGCCCGGCTCAGGTTGTGATAGTAGCTGAGGACCTTGCCACTACAGTCCGCTTTCTGTGCGAGCGAGAAGTGGCGCGGCGATCCTGATGATGATTGCGACTTCCCATCGAAGGCTGGTTATTGGTATTCCGACCAAAGTTCGGCGAACATTTCGTGTGTAACGAGCTTGGTCCAGCGCTTGACGTCCTTCTCCATGACCCGTCTGGCACCCTCCCACTTGGCCACTTGCTCCTCAGAAAGCTCATTCTTGACGTATTGTCGAAACTCTATGGCGCGGTTGTACTGAACTTGGTACGGATTTCTGTCCATGTGGGAGAAAGATAGTTTGCCGGGTGGAAGCTTGTCGCGTACAGATTTCAGAGCTTGACCTTCTGCAGTGTCAAAGTTGCTGGCGCGATGCGCCATCCCCACGCGTCGAAGGTAGAGTGCAATGGGCTCGATTTGAGGGATGCCGATGTTGACGTAGAACCAGTCAGATGTATGTCCTGGTGCGCGAAGCTGAGACCTCCTGAGGGATAGAAAAGATGCTATCCACTTGACCAACCAGTCAGGGACGCCGAGCTCTACCAGAATGTGAGGAAGTGCTTGACGATCAACGTGATCGTAAGCTCCCGAGATGTCCGAGCTGCACATTGTCTTTCGTCTCTTGCACCTCCCCTTATTCTCCAAAGACCAAGCCTTGTAGACGAGGTTGAAGATGTGCTCTAGGGCCTCGGTGGTGCTCCTTCCGACGCATGCGAATTGCCTGTTTGGGAGAAATTTGTGCTGGACCGCAAGTATTTGTAGTCGTGCCGCCACCAGCCTTTGCAGTAGTTTGCCTATACAAGAAAGCAAGGCTATGGAACGATACGCTTTTGGCTGAGCATAGTCCTCCTTGTCAGGCTTGGGAACGACAATCGTTGTCGCGTCGCGATAACAAAGGTGGTGGTGAAACGTCTTGAAGCTGGCGTTGACGAGATGTTTGAAGTATTTGTAAATTTCCGCCCAACCAACCTTGAGGGCGTTGTTGATGATATCGTCGGGCCCGGCAGCCTTGCCTCTTTCTACTGAGGTGAATGCCTCATGCAACTCCTCATCGCTGATACACTGAGGAGTAAAGAGTTGGGGACGTTTGGGGTCAAGCTCGGGTACCTCAGGAGCCGGCGGGTCAGTGGCATCGCTCGATTTGGGCCAAATCTTGTCCTTGAAGCAGTGCAAGCTTTCGTCATCGGTCTGACAGACAGACTCGTCGGGTCGTATAAGCCTCTTCAGATGAACCTGTCGTTGTGGTTGACTCCACGCCGAAACCTACCTCGCTAATTGATGAAGACCCCGTAGTTGAGAAGCCTGGCTAGTCTCTCGAAACGAAGCCATCTTGTGCATCTTGGTGGCGTGACGGGTTTCACGCTTAGCAATGCGACACTTTTCCTCTTGGCCCCGCTGTTTGCGTCGAGATCGAAGCTAATGCAGAATGCGATGCTGATTCTTCTCGTTCTCACGAGCGCGTTGGACGTCTTCCGGGTCCATTTCGGGCTTCGGCCGCGGAGCGGTCTTCCTGTAGCAGGGAATGGTCCGGCGAACAGCTTGGTAGATGGCCAGCACAAGCGCTTTGGCGTAATCATCAACCTCAGCTGCAGTTCGGATAGTGGGGCAGCCGATCGTGAGCAATTGTTTTTTGACCTCTTCGCAGTATTTCTTTTCATTTGCTTTGTCCCAGTTGAAGCGTGGCTCCTTGTCTCGATTGGGCGCAATGGAGATCCTGGTATGGAGCGGCCGGTGGTCTGAATCGAATCCAGGTACTGACAGCACTCGAGTGGGATGGGCCCGAGACTCCAGCCTCTGAGCGGCAAAGGCCAAGTCAATCGTGGTTGAGAAATCGCCGGTGTCGGTAGCCGACCGTGAGTAAGTCCTTAGGCCGGGTGGCAACAAGCATCGCATGCCTGCCATGCTTGTTGCCTGGTGAAGAATTCCGGCGTCTTTCTCAACTTGCGCAACCCTATCTCCACCCCATTCCGGGTGGTGGAGGTTGAAGTTCCCAATCAATACGGCACTTTCGCCAGTGACAGGATGATCTGAAGCTGTCAATAGTTTCGACATGGAGATGGATTGCTTGTTGTTGTAGACGTTGTGGATCGTTATCTCGCCGCAGGACGTATTGAGAAACAAGGAGGCTACCGAGCCATAGTGGTCGTTATCATGTTCCCGCCAATCGATCCTCCAGTCGCTTGGATCGATCGACTTGGTAACATAAAAACCAACAAGCTTGACTGGAAAAGGGTCCTCTGTCGTTTTTGGATTGTCTTTTTCCAAAAGCTCCCTTGCTGGGAGGTACTCAGGGTTGTAGCCTGGACATGATTTCCAAGCGAACTCTGGTGGAGGGTCTTGGATGACAATGACGTCTGGCAGAGGATTCATTGTGGAAGGTGGGCGACCAGGTAGCCCACACGGGCGGGAGAGCGTTTAAGGTTCACCTGAATTAGATCCAGGTTGTTGGCGTAGTCCGAGTCGGAATCGGATGCAGATGCCTCGTCTTCCTGCGCCTCGTGCTGTCGAGCACTTGATGACGAAGTCGAGACCTCATTGTCTGGCTAAACACTCTTTAGATACTTTTGCCACTGTACGCTACGCAACTGTGAGGAAATTCGCACTAAACTTACCTTCTCTTTTCGTGAAGTTCTATTCTTATGCCCTCTTTTCTTCTTGCGGGTATGCCCCATTCCAGCGAACCTCAACGCTGAAAACGACCAGCAATGTGACGATGGTGAATAGATCAAACCAAGCCTAGAAGGCGTCAGTAAGCAATCGGCTCATCCCCGGATGCTTGAGGATACTAACCCAGGAGAAGATTCTCCACTTCACCAGAGCGAGACGTGTTGCGGGCCTTCATCGGGAGTTATGAACACGGTCTGAGGGCGGTGAAGGGAAGACCAGTGGAAGGAAGGGCTAGAAAATAGGTAAACAGATGGAGTGCGAAGCAAAGAAAGAATATGGCGTTGGAGCACCCGTGGGATGTCATGGGACATCCGCATCGCTCCCCGAAGCAGACGGTACCCCTAGGATAAGACCGACTTTTGGTGATGCAACAAACCAAGAGGTATCGTGGCCGAGAAGCAGCTCGTAAGAGAATTATACTAAACGGAAGGTTCGGCGCAAACAAAGCGCAGGGCAAAAGGGCAAAGGCAATTCATTGGCATGACTGAGCCAGCCCAGTTACTTCCTGTAAGTCTTTTGCTTTACAAAAATGATATCGAATTTTAACCCGAAAGCCTCTGCACTCCTGGTTATTTTGTGAAAGGATTTTATTCCTCCAATATGAAATCCGATACCATATCAGTGCCTGGGTCAAGCAGAGAGAGATCCGAGACTTGACAACACGACGGAGACCCACTCCGGGAATCCGGGCACCGGCGGCGGTGCTCTTATCGATAAGGAGGCCGTCTGCCGGCCCGTCCCAAATCAGTCTAGTGAGGGGCAACCCCACCAAAAAATTCGTCTTCACCGATGAGGGTTGGCCAGGGTAGCTGGGTGCAGTGACAATCTCATTGTCAAAAGTCTTGCTCTCAAACATTTGTTTACACGTCCAGCCTCTTCGTAAGAAAGAACAAAAATCCCAACGCTTACTCAACACACCCCTTCTCCACAACACCATATTTCAAGATGGGAAAGAAGAGAGAGAGAGACGAGGCCAAGCCTGCGGAGGATGTCAAGATGGCCGATGAGAGCTCCGACGATGAGGTGAGAGACGAGTCCCTATCTTTCCCACACCAGAGACCATTGTACTCACTCAGGAGACAAGGACTTCGACGTTGTCAATGTCGATTTTGAGTGGTTCAACTTTGACCCCGAGGTCGACTTCCAAGGCACCAAGACGCTACTGCGCCAGCTGCTCGACGTCGACTCCACGCTCTTTGACATCTCAGGCCTCGCCGACCTCATCCTGTCCCAGCCCACCATCGGCTCGACAGTCAAGGTCGACGGCAAGGAGAACGACGCCTACGCGCTCATGACCGCGCTCAACGTCCAAGAGCACAGCCAGAAGCCCGCCATGGCGGAGCTCGCAAAGTACATGATTGAAAAGTCGCAGACCAACCCGGCCCTCGCCGCCGCCGTCCCGCGGGTGCTCAACGACAGCGGCGCGCAGGTGGGCCTGGTGCTGACGGAGCGGCTCATCAACATGCCCTCGGAGATCGCGCCGCCCATGTACCGCATGCTCGTTGACGAGATCGAGGCCGCGGTCGAGGACAAGGAGCCTTACGAGTTCACGCACTACCTGATTCTGTCCAAGACGTACCAGGAGATCGAGTCGACGCTCACCGAGACGGAGAGGAAGGGGAAGAAGGCCAAGGCGGACACGGCGCTGTGGCACTTCCACCCCGAGGACGAGGTCTTTGTGAAGCATGCGGTGGCTCATGGCTCCTTCCAGTTCACAAATGAGGAGAAGGCAGTGGCGGACAGCAAGCGCGCGTTCCAGGAGATGGGTGTCAAGTCGCACGGCCACCTCATCTTGATTGAGGCTAGTAAGTGGGAGGGTGCAGTGCAAGCGGTGGAGCAGTACCTGAGCGCATCTCAATAGAAGGAGGGAAGTAGAAAAAGAAAAGAAGAAGCATGATTTTGAGCAATTTCTTGTCATTTCGTAGTCTATTCTACAGGCTCTAGTCTCTGCATGAGGTACTCGACCTCGACGTCCTTGGTCAGGGGTATCACAAAGTCTTTGTACATGGCCACCACGGCATCGGCGTCAATCTTGGCCTGGTTCTCCGGGCCCGCTCCAATGGAAGGGTCGGTGCCGTAGGTCAGGACCTTGAGCCTAAGGCGTTCGAGAACCTTCTTCTCCACGGCGGCGTTAGTGATGGCCTCGGCGATGCCCTCGCGGTCCTCGGCCTTGATAAGCTTTGTGTACTTTTCCGGATCGGACTGGAACTTGGACTCGGCGACGAACTTGCCAAAGTGTATCCTGCGGGAGAGGGCCTGAAGGCAGGCAATGTCGCAAGTGGCCGAGGAGCCGTAGTTCTCCTGAGACTCGCCGCGGTCCTCGCGGCCGAAATCGGGGCAGAGTGCGGGGAGGAACTTGTCCACGTAAAAGTCCTTGATCTGGTTGTTGACGTTGACGTCGTTGGGGTGCAGGATGCGCGGGTAGTGCAGGGGCTTGAGGATCTGCTTCTGGACGGCTGAGGGGAAGAAGGGGTACTCGTCGGGAGAGTCGTAGCGGCGGATGATGGACTGCAGCTTCTCCTGTTCGCAGAGGTACCAGTCCATGAAGCTCAGTTCGCTGTTTGGTATATTGAGCGCTCCGGGGACATAAATCGTTTTGTTACGGGCAAACTGGGCACGCTCGATAAGGTGAAAAGTGATGGTATCTTCGAGACGACTGTATGGTAGTTGGTGTTAGTTGTGAGTCAACAAACAGCGTTGGAGGTTGGAGGGGGAACCGACATCAACTGGTAGCGAATGCGGGACAAATCCAACGCCTTGGAGGGGTCCGATAGGTCAATGAGAGAGTCCATTTCGTCGTCAATTGATTGGAAGCCGGTTGGATATTGGTAGACCAGTCCCTGGGAGTGATGCTGGTGCGCAGTGGGAGTTTGGACGACGGGTTGGGGCGGGTAACGCATTCGGACTGCCTATCGTCGGGTCGTAAAGGGGAAAAAGCTTGACGGTCGTGAGGATTTGGCTGGGTGCGGGCGGGTGACAACCGAGGCCGATGACGCTCCCAGCGAAAGGAGACAAGTCCCCGGCGGGCACTCCAGAACAGAAAAAAAAAAAAAAAGACTTGTCCCAACGCAGCACAAGCGCGAGGCTGCCCGTCTCTGACCCCCGTGCACTGCACCTGCAGGTCGCTGCCCCCAAGAGATCGGGTGGCTTAAGCGGGCACCAATCAGTGGCCCCTGCCATCCTTTACAGCCAAGTCGCCCCCCAAATCTTGCAGCCTCGTACCTCGTTAGCGTGCCCAGGTGTCCCGTGTGCCCGTGTGCCCCGTGCAGGGAGCTTCTCGGGTGTTTAGCGCGTCATCCAGAACAGGAGGCGTCCCCAACCGGGTTGTTGCCGGGATCATTGCTGGGAGTGTGGATACGTATCTGATTCTCGACCGAGACGACAAAACTCGACCCGGTCGAAAAGAAGCACAAACCCGGAGCGAGCTGTTCCCACAACGCCCAGCTGCGAAATCACCACCTTCTCTCCTTTTCCGCCCCGTTCGTCCTTCCTCGCCTCCTCCCCCTTTGTGCCACTCATTGTCGTGCGCATCGGACGGGAGAGCACACGTACGCATGGCCGCCTCGGATCACGACCAGTATGGCTTCCACGACGATGCGGCCGCCGGAGACGACCAATCCGTCTTGTCTGTAAGTCGAACTTTGCCACTCGCGTGACAACTTTGTTCGTCGAGACTTGGATGATTGACCAAAGTATCGTATCGGTAGACTCGCGGTATAGAAGCATTCGGGCGCAAGGTCACGACAACAGCAAGCCATTTGATGGGTCCTCTGTCCGAGCAAGGGAACAATAATCATCACCACTACCATGGCGCTCTGGCCGAGGTCCACAAGCAGCTCCGGCGGCCAACTATCCAACGAAGCATGTTTTCCATGGCAAAAACGACGCCGACAGACATGGTCCGGTCCAAGCTGTCCACGACGGAGATTCAGCATCGCGCCCTGACGTACTTACCCGACGAACTGCTAGCGAATATTCCCGAGAGCGATAATTCATACTCCCTCTTCCAGGGCTTCAAAGCCAGCTTCCCGGACCTGACTGAAGAAGGTAGGAAGCATCGACGGCGGGTATCGAGGGGCAGGAAGCTTTTGGAGGATACGGAAAACACTGCCGGCACACCCCAGGCGCTGCACAATCTGAAGAAAGACAAGGCCTCGATGATGCACGAGCTCGAGATGCTGGGTGTCCGTAAGAACATGGCAAGCAGTGAGATCCGTGACATTGACAACAAGATTGCCAATCTGCACGGTATGCGCCGGATCATCCTGGACAGACTGGCCAACTTGGAGCAAGAGGAAACGTTGCTGGAACATGACCGTGAGTTGCACAACCATCTGGGCTCTCAGGTGACTCGCTTGGTACTAACTAGCTTCAGTCATGGATGTCGAGACACGGTTAGAAGACGCTCAGGAGCTCGTCGACGAAGCCGAGTCGATTGCGATAAACACACCCACGAAGACCGAGGAAGATCTGGCTGGCGAGGATGACTCTGGTTTCATGTCACAGTCGGTGTACGAGAAGCTCCCAACAACAGCTGGCACACCGGCATCAAAGGCAAAGAAGAGAGTAGTCCGCCGGAAATCGATGCCAATCTTGCACGAGCATTTTGAGGCAGGCACGGCTATTAGGGAAATTCGCGCGCACCAGGACACGATTACGGCTCTCGACTTTGATGCACCCTTCGGAACAATGGTGACCTCGGCCATGGACGACTCGATCAGGGTCTGGGATCTTAATGCTGGACGATGCATTGGTTTGCTGGATGGGCACACGGCCTCAGTTCGCACGTTGCAAGTGGATGACAACTTCCTCGCGACCGGCGGCATGGACGCTACGATTCGACTCTGGGACTTGAGCAAGGCCCACTACGACCCCCACGGAAGCCAGTACGGAAGGGACGAAGACGAAGACGGCATCGCATTTGAGAACCCCGACGATGGACCGGTCGAGCCTCCTGAAGGAAGCATGAGAGATTGCCATCTCTACACCCTGCAATCCCATGTTGACGAAATCACGGCGCTCCACTTCAGAAACGATACGCTCGTGTCCGGCTCGGCAGACAAGACATTGCGACAGTGGGATCTTGAAAAGGGCCGCTGCGTCCAGACGCTGGACGTTATGTGGGCGGCAGCGCAGGCATCCGCGTCTCTCGGCAGTGAAAGCTCCTGGAGGCAGACGAATCGGGCACCGGCGCAGCAAGCCGATTTTATCGGTGCCCTCCAAGTTTTCGAGACTGCTCTTGCGTGCGGTACTGCCGACGGCATGGTTCGGCTGTGGGATTTGCGAAGCGGACAGGTTCACCGAAGCTTAGTGGGACACACAGGACCCGTGACATGCTTGCAGTTCGATGATGTTCACCTTGTGACTGGTAGCATGGACAGGAGCATTAGAGTGAGTTTGACCTTACTTCATTTAAGCCAGGGCATTGCTAATCATGAACAGATCTGGGATCTCCGTACAGGATCTATCTACGACGCCTATGCGTACGACAACGCCATCACAAGCATGATGTTTGATGAGCGGAGAATCGTCAGCGCAGCAGGCGAGGACGTGGTGAAGGTGTACGATAAGGTGGAAGGCCGCCAATGGGACTGCGGCGCGGGCATCTCTGATGCTGAGGAGGGCAAGACACCTGCTGTGGTGGAGCGTGTACGTGTCAAGGACGGCTACCTGGTGGAGGGACGACAGGACGGTATTGTAGGAGTATGGACATGTTAGAGTATACAGAACCCCCTTTCAACAGAGCGAATACAACGCGATTATGACACAGGCAGAGAAGATGAGAAATTTCAAGTTCTCAACCAAACACTGAAGAAACGTGATGAGGGGGCCTATAATTTTCATCTGGATGTTACAATGCTAGAGTCTAGAGAAACATCCCCTTTTTGGCTTCGTTTTTGACTTCAAGAACGCAACCGATTGAAGCTATGTAGCAAAGCGTCTAGGGGTGTTCATCCGACATGCTCCCGAGCTAAAATGCAGGAAGCAGTTGCCATGATCAGACGGAGACCCGCTCACCCAAACATCTCCAACTTTTTTTTCCTCGTACCTTTGCATCATTTACTCACGCCAAAACTCACCAGACTTGATCCGACACCCGACTTTGAGGAGAGCCTTTCATGCCATAACCAAGAAAATTCAGGAGAGTAAAAGGGGCCGTATGTATGAGGGCATAGAATAAGGGTCCTTGAGAGAAAGGGAGCCAGAATGTCCATCTTTGATAACCCCGCCCTCACCAAAGAGTGCAGCGGGACAGCGGCGTCGATCCGCGCGGACGTCGTCGGCCACCTCTCCGCCGAATTCCCTCCGCCTCCGCGACCGTTTGAGAGCAATGCCGAAGAACATAGTCTGGAGCCCGTTGGGTCGGAGATTTTGAGAGTTGTGGAGGGGTTGGCTTCTAAGGTTCTAGGGCTGTGTGCGTCAGCAGGCTATGATGTGGATTTGAGCGAATACACAGCACCACCAGCACCACCAGCACCACCATCAGGGCTGGCGTCGGAATCGGTGATTGATCGTCTCGATGGAGAGATTGAGCGGACCTACCGGCGGTTCTATGACTATGTCTACACGGACCTGCCGTTTTGTTGGAGGTTGTTGTACACGGAGTTGAGTCTGCTCAAGTTTTCGGCGGTGGTGTTTTTGTATGTTGCTAGGACGGTGGCGCGGGATGGGACAATGGAGGAGGAGCATGAAGAGGGAGACGAGGAAGAGAAAGTGCTGGATGAGCTCGTCGCCGTGTTGGATAAGGCTCTCATCCTCGCCGGCGGGGCGGGATTGAAGCGCGGGAGGAGGACGATCTCGAGGCTGCTCGGGTACCTCGACTCGGAGACGCTCTCGCCTTCACCGCGTTCGTCTCTCCCGGCGAGATTTCCTTCTTCGCGGACGTTTACGCCGCCTGTTGGCCGGCCTATTCGCGTCGTGGATCGTATGTCGATGTCGGCTTTTCAAGCGTACCTGGACGGACGGCACCGTCTAGACAAGGAGGCAGACGTGGATATGGACCTGGGGCCGGAGCCGCTGGTCCTGACGTCGCTGATGACGGAGTGGCCTGCGCTCTCTACAAGACCGTGGTCGTCGCCTAGGTACTTGATGTCGAGGACACATGGCGGGCGGAGGCTTGTGCCTGTGGAGGTTGGGCGTAGCTATGTTGATGAGGGGTGGACACAGGAGTTGATTTCGTTTCGGGAGTTGTTGGCGCGCGTTGTTGCGTCTGGGTCTCCATCGACTGCAGCATCGACGGCAACATCGATGACGACGATGACAGTGAGGACGGAGGACGGAACAGAAAAGGCAACGGAAAAGGCAACGACGTACCTGGCCCAACACGAACTCTTCGCGCAGCTCCCGCACCTGCTAAACGACATCCTCACGCCAGACCACTGCTTCACCTCGCCGCCAGCGCACCCGCTTAACCAAAGCGCCAACAAGCCGGAGCTGGACGTGCCGTTGGTGAATGCATGGTTCGGCCCGGCGGGGACGATTACGCCGTTGCATACGGACGGGTATCATAACTTGCTGTGTCAGGTTGTCGGGGAGAAGTATGTACGGTTATACGCGCCGCGGGATTCGGAGGCCTTGTGTCCGAGGGGATTCGATGGTGATGACGACTATAACGACGATGAAGGAGACGAAGGAGGAGAAGGGAATGGACAAGATGAGGAGAGCAAGGCAGGCCAGGGAGTCAAGAAGGTAGACATGAGCAACACCAGCGCCTTTGACGTCGGCGCCGTGGAGGGCTGGGACCCGGACACGGAGGGTCGCGATCCGATGGAGCTCGAGGAGTTTCGGGGGCTGCGGTACTGGGATTGCGTGCTGGGACCGGGGGAGGTGTTGTATATACCCATCGGCTGGTGGCACTACGTCCGCAGTCTGAGTGTGAGTTTCAGCGTGAGCTTTTGGTGGAATGGGGATCATCATATTGGTCCGGAGGGGAGGGGAGATGATTGATATCACGTCTTGAGGGAGTCTGAGTCTAGGTGAAGTGTTTACTTTTATAGCTTGAGAAGAAATACCCCTCTCGAATAAGAGGTACAACAAGCCTCGGGTCATATTTTCATTCCATCATGTCATCTACGTAAAATATTATTCATCAACTACGATATCAGCTCGCAGCGGCAGCAGCCTCATCAGCCTCGGCGCTCTCCCCTGTGCCCCCCTGCGCCTGACGCCTCGCCTTAGCTCCCGCCTTCAACTTCTCCCACTTTTCGCGATACTTTTCCAGCGTCCGCGCCATTGTGCGATTCTCCTTCTCCAGCGCCTCCATGCGCTGCATCGCCATGGCCATCTGCTCTTCCAGCTCCTTGTTCCGTACCTTCAACACGGCGTCTGTGCTCGACATGCCCCCGCCACCACCGGCGGTAAAAGGAGACGCCCCAACCGTCGCAGGCGACCCGGGCCGTCTTAGACGGATACTCTCCGCCAGGGCCAGACTCGAATTCTGCGCCGTGGCCTCAAACGCGTGGAGCCGTTTGCTGAGCTTGTCGAGCATGTCCTTGAGGCCTCTGTTTTCGAGGTAGAGTTCCTCGACGGTGTTTTTGAGGTTCTGTTCTGTGTTGGGTTTGCTGGCGGTGCGGCGTCGCACGCCGGGGGAGGTTGGTGCTGCCATCATCATGGACGGAGACTCGCGGGCGTCGACAAAGTCGTCCTCGTCGTCTTCGATGAGGCTGTCACCTGCGCCGCTGCCGCCGGCACCGCTTCCAACGCCGCTGTGGAGCGAGGCCTCGAGGCGGCGCTTCTCCTTATCGGCAAAGTTGAGGATGTTGGCATAGGACATTGTGTGCCCGCTCGTTGGGACGACGTAGAAGGAGTCGTTGGGGTTGTTTGCCGAGATCGCGCGGAGGGTGGCGCGCGAGTAGATTTTGGAGAGGTCTGGCTCGGCGGGGGCTGCTGGAGAGGGTTTGAGTCTGGTGCGCTTTGCCGGGGCCGGTTCTGGTGTCTCCATAGGGGGTTCCGGGATGGACGACGACGAGGTTATCGATGAGGATTCCTCGGTGATAAGGGGCAGGCCTGCGAAGGCGAGGGGCGCGGAGAGGCGGTTGATGATGTTGCCAAAGGTGCTGTAGAAGCGGGAGTATCCGTCGTCGCTGGCAGCCGGCGAGGCGACTTCTTCCGTCTTCTTGGGCTCCGTCTCCCTTCGCGGGGAGTCGGCCGTTGGAGGAATCCATCCCGGCTTGCCGGACTGGTCGAGGACGTTTTGCATCTTTGTCCTCGAGCCGTCCCTCCGAGCTTGGACTTCCATGTTGCCCGGCGCCTGGTCGTTTGTGACGCTCGGCGGGATGGGCTGGCTCCGGTTCCTGCTTCCGCGAATACCTCGCGCCGAGGCGAGGTTGCTCGCGATAGAGGAGGTCATCTCGCGGCTCGGGTACCGGCGCTGCTGCGTCAGGGACGGAACACCCTTCACCGTGGCGACGGGGCTTCCGCCAGCGGACTGCTGCTGCTGGCCTGATCCGGACTTGGTACGGCCATCATCAGGTGAGGAGATATCGCTTGTAGCATCGGAGGCTTGCGATTCCTGCTTCTCGTCGATGGTCTCGGAGGAGGGGTTCTGGCTGGCAGCGGCGCGGCGGTCAAAGGGTATCTTGAGGAGTTCGGCGAGGCGCTGGTGGTGCTCTTCGAGGAGCTTTAGGGTGCGCAGGGCCTCGATGCTCGAGGTGGAGCGGGCCGCGTTGGCAAATTCGCCGGCGGCGAGGGCGTGTTCGTTGATTGCTACCGTCGTCTCGGACTGGTGCTGGGCGTTCGAGGCCGCTTTGGCATGGTCATGCGCCTAGGTGATTACTGTTAGGACGGTGGTGCTAGAGACACTGTCTCGTAGATGCCTTTAAGGGCCGAGGTTACCTTGACAAGCGAAGACTCGTCCATCGCAAAAAGAACTGCAGGGCAGCAGGTGGGCTGCCGGTGATGTGTCAAGGGACGGAGTGCCGGTGCCGGTTCGGTTTCGGAAGACGTTGGGGAATAGTTTCTGGTCCAAGTCGGCTGTCCGCACGTCTGCTTTTGGATCACGCGACCGCCTGAGACCGATACAGACGGTGGTAGTGGTGGAGAGGTGGAGGGATGTACGGATATGCGCCGATGGAGGTACGGAGGAGGTCCAACGAACCGGCCTTTGACGTTCGGTGACCGGTGGTTGGGTCGGGGTGCGTTGCGGTCGCGGAGGTTTCCCCAGAGTCGCTAGAAGATGACCCCCCCGCTTGTTCTCTTCTCCGGTTGCAGTCAGGTGGGCAGTGGACAATAAGGTAGGTGCAGAAGCATGCGGGACGATGCTTGGTTCGCTTCCAGTGAGAAGGGGGCTAAGGGGGCCCAGATTGGGCGGTTGGAGTACGTAAGCTTTCCATTCGTCAAAGCGTCCTCTTCCCGCTACTGGCTACCCACGCACCTTGCCAAAATCGTCAAGGCCAATTGGAAGCGAAGAGACCGATCCCACGTCACCAGGTGCTAGTAATTGCCTCAAGCGACTTGTTGGAAGCTAGCTTCACCTACTCCGACTAATGACATCTCGATGATGTTGCTAGAAAATTCAAAAGAGACTTCAGGCGGCTTTTGTGAAGGGAAGTTGGTGCCGCTGTACCACTGCAGGACACGCTATACAAAGCACCGAAACAATCGAGCAGATCGTGATACCCGTGTTTACAGTCAACATTCACTTGTCAAAGTTTTTAAGCCACCAGTCGTCACTTGCATTGTCAAATATGATATGTTAATAAATAATCGAGTACTAGCAGCGCGACGTGCGTCTGGAAGGCAAGTTGGAAGTGACTCGTCAATCCAGACCATGACGATGACAGTAAGTGCCGGAACTGAGACAGGCCAACAACTAGAGATATTCTGGATGACGCAAAATACATGTCAAAGGAACCCAGCAACTTGGGCATCGTCTCTGCGAGTGAGTCTGTTGGAACGTGGGTGCGCTGTGGCTGCGACCTGTCCCCCGCCCTAACAATCGTGCGAGAGGGACGGCATTGTCCAATATCCAGTTGCGCGGTGTCTCGTCGCTCCAGAGACGAGCCTATCACGATGAAGGAATAAGAAGGGCCACTGCAAGCCCGCAAGCCGCAGGCCGTAAACCGCAAGACACATTTCGCACTTGCAAAGGCCCCTGACGTAGCTATGGTTCCCCCCAAGCCAGCACCTGATCCAAACGGGCAACCCAACGGCCACAACCGTCCCGAATCGGGCCAGCCATCGAAACCTTGCTGGGAAATCCATCTGCAAATCTGCCAGACGTGCATGCATCGCCAGGAGTAGGAGCGCGGACTGGCGGACTGATTCGGGCTGGGTGGGTGAGAAAGGTGGGATGAAAGGCTCCGGGTCAGCCGTTGATACGCTGGTTGGGATCTGCCGGTCTCTCTGGTTCGACCTACCTAAGGTACGCCAGAGACCATGTGGTGCTGGTGCATCCGGCTAGAGTGGAATGGAGCTGGTCGGCCGGTGGTGAGATGTGATCTGAGCAGTGAGCCGAGGCGGCAAGTCGGAAACTCAGGAGATGATACTTGGTGCTGTTAAGAGGGCACGCCGCACACTAAGCCACATACTCTTCGGTTTGCTGGGGCCTTGGAGAGATTGACTTTGGGTGCATCTGGCGGAATCATCCCGATGCAGGTCCCAGATCCCAGGTGTAATTCGCAGAGGGAAAGTTCATGGGATGGCTGGTTGGCTGGCGCGGAGATGGAATGGGGATTTGCATTCTGGGATTGCGCAGTCGCCAATAGATCCACCGAAAAAGAGATGCCACTGCCCACTTCACTGAACCAAAATAGCAGCGCAGTGTCTTTCCCGGATCACGGGTGGCGGGCGTCAATCATATAATGCAGCAGTAACATGGTATATGGGTGGCTCAGGTCCATTGAGGCTGGCCAGATTGACGGCCCCAGATTCCCGATTCTGAGGGATTCCAGGCCGCTCGTAATAATGGAGAGCTGCCGGCGAGCGAGCAGAAAGAAGCAGCCGACTTTTATGCCAATATGAGTTTTCATTTGGTTATTTTGAGGGTTATGAGGAGAGGAGAGCGGAGACTGGGGAGAACAGGAGGAAGTGAGAAATATTAGCTTATGTAATGGGGATGCACTAACATGTCCAGGTACCCCTTCCGTTTCGAGCCAAGGAGGAAGGAGGAAGGAGGAACCCGCCTGGCCCAGGAACTTGCCTCGCCTCCAGTGACGATGACGCTCTTCGTGGAAAGAGAGCTCCGGCTTGGTGGTTCTTGCCTTGGTCAGAATTGAAACTGACGACCTGGGGGAGGTACGACGGGAACTCCTTACCTTTGGTACGAATAGAAATCAAGGTGGCAACCAGAACCTGGACCTCCTTCCTTCTCGGGTTTTCATCTTCATCTTCCTTTTGGGTCCCTCGGCTCCAGCACCGTCTCCAGAGAAATTGCAAACTTTCCCATTTTCCGTGAAGTGCGAACCGCCAACCCATCTTTGCTCTTACCCATGGCCTGACCCATTCATTCATTCATCCACCTTTTCATGTTTGCACTCTGCACATTACTTTGCACCTCCTCACAGGCTCACAAACAAGAAACAACATTAAACGGGGCCCCGTCTGCATCGCATAAACTCGGAAAACGACACAGCACCCGCGGCCTCGTTTCCAAATAATTCGCCGTCATACGCAAACAATACACAAGGTCTACAGATACAGTCTACACCCCTACCTCGCATCGCACCTCCCTACGGATCCTCTCCAAGCTTGTCTTGTCTACTCGACCTTAATTTCCATACTGCCAATTCCCTGCACCCGCGGACCATGATCATCGTGCCCACTCTTCGCAACCAATGCGCGTATAGCCTTTGACAGCACCATCCCGCCAGACTGCAGACACACATTGCTCGGAGAAGGATACGATAATTACGAGCTTCACGATCCTGGGAAATCACCAGAACCCTGGCCCGGGAAACCATGGATACCGCCAATGAAAGCGGAGGAGCTCTGAGCAAGCTGCTACCAAAGTCAATCGCCGCCAAGCGTCGCCGCAGAAAACAAGAAGCCCAAGAAGATGAAGCCGCTGCCGCCACGGCCGCTTTGCTGA